TTGCCTCAAATTGAGCTCCTTTTGCTTGAACAAATACTGCAAACTCTTATGATCCGTGAACACCTCACACGACATGCTATATAAATAATGCCTCCAAATCTTCAGCGCGTGTACAATGGCTGCTAGCTCCAAGTCATGAACTGGATAATTCTTCGTGAATCTTCAACTGCCGCGAAGCATATGCAATAACCTTACCATTCTGCATCAACAGTGCACCAAGTCCAATACGAGATGCGTCACAATATACTGTATATGGACCTAAACCTATGGGCAATACCAACACCGGCGCCGTAGTCAGAGCTGTCTTGAGCTTTCTGAAAGTTCGCCTCACACTCGTCCGACTACCTGAACGGGGCACCCTTCTGAGTCAACCTGGTCATCGGGGCTGCTATGGATGAAAACCCCTCCACAAACCGAGGGTAATAACCTGCCAAACCCAAGAAACTCCAGATCTCTGTAGCTGATGTGGGTCTAGGCCAGTCCTTGACTGCATCAATCTTCTTAGGATCCACCTGAATACCCTCTGCTGATACAATATGAACCAAGAAAGCAATTGAACTCAACTAAAACTCTCATTTCGAAAACTTAGCATATAACTGGCTGTCTCTTAAAGTTTGGAGAACGATTCGAAGATGCTGCTCATGCTCCTCTCGGCTGCGGGAGTAGATTAAGATATCATCAATGAAAACGATCACAAAGGAATCCAAATAGGGCTTGAACACCCGGTTCATCAAATCCATAAATGCTGTTGGGGCATTTGTCAACCCAAATGACATCACTAGAAACTCATAATGCCCGTACCGAGTGCGAAAAGCTATCTTAGGGACATCTGATGCCCTAATCCTCAACTGATGGTAGCCAGATCTCAAATCAATCTTCGAAAACACCTTGGCACCCTGAAGCTGATCAAATAAGTCATCAATCCTCGGCAATGAAAACTTGTTCTTGATGGTGACTTTGTTCAACTACCGATAATCTATGCACATCCTCATCGATCCATCCTTCTTCTTAACAAACAACACCGACGCACCCCAGGGAGAGACACTAGGTCTAATAAAGCCCCTATCAAGCAAATCTTGCAACTGTTCTTTTAATTCTTTCAACTCTGGCGGGGCCATACGGTATGACAGAATAGAAATGGGCTGAGTGCCTGGAGCCAAATTAGTGCAAAAGTCAATATCCATGGCGAGTGGCATCCCCGACAGGTTTGCAAGAAATACCTCTGGAAACTCCCGAACAAGCGGCACAGAATCCATAGAAGGAACCTCAGCACTAGAATCACGAACATAAGCCAAATAAGCAAACACCCCTTCTTGATCATACGCCGAGCCTTCACATAAGAAATAACTCTGCTGGTAGAATGACCAGGAGTCCCTCTCCACTCTAACCGAGGCAACCCCGGAAAAGCCAAGGTCACAGTCTTGGCTTGACAATCCAATATAGCATGATAAGGTGACAGCCAATCCATCCCAAAAATGACATCGAAATCCACCATATCGAGAAGTAGGAGATCTACACTAGTCTCAAGACCCCCAATAACAACCACACACGAGCGATAGACATGATCTACAATGATAGAATCCCCTACCGACATGGACACATACACGGGAGCACTCAAAGAATCACGAGGCACAACCAAATATGAAGCAAAATAAGATGACACATAGGACTATGTAGACCCTGGATCAAATAGAACTGAAGCATCTGTACTACAAACCAAAACAATACATGTGATAACTGCATCGGAGGACTCAGCCTCAGGCCTGGCAGGGAAAGCATAACATCGGGGTTGGGCCCCACCACTCTGAACCATATCCCTGGGACGACCTCCTACTGGCTGGTCTCCACCTCTAGTGGCCTGGCCTCTACCTCTAGTGGCTTGACCTCCACCTCTAGCGGGCTGGCCCCTACCTCTAGCTCCCCGACCCTTACCTCTAGGTGGCTGGGTAGGCGGTGCCGAAATCATGGCACGAGAACTCTGCTGCTGCGACTGAACACCCACTAATCTCGGACAGGTCCTTCGGACATGCCCATACTCACCATACTCAAAGCGTCCATCTGAATACTGCGGCTGAGGAAACTGAGACTGACCCTGACGAGCCGGCTGACCGAAATAATAACTTTGAAGAGGAGGTGCTCTGATGGGAGCTGGCAGTGCACTATAAGCTGGCAGCCCTGAAGGAGGTACATAAGGACCACGACCCCCCAAAGCTCCGTGGGATGTCTGAAGTGCTGAATGAAATGGCCTGGGATGATGGCCTCTACCAAAAGTACCTCGACCTCCAGATGATGTCCCACTGAATCCATGGGAGTGACGGGGCCTCTTGTGAGACCCCTGACCACTCCCCTGAGCTAAAACCATCTCAACTCGTCTGGCCACATTGGCTGCATCCTGGAAAGAAATCTCGCTCCCAGTCTCCTTAGCCATATGCAATCTGATAGGCTGAGCAAGTCCCTTAATAAATCTCCTTACCCTCTCTCTCTCTCGGTGGGAAGTATAAGAAGAGCATGCGGGCCAAATCCACAAATCTGGTCTCGTACTGAGTGACAGTCATAGAACCCTGCTGAAGGCGCTCAAACTGCCTCCGATAGTCCTCTCTCTGAGTGATAGGAAGATACTTCTCCAAGAATTGCTGCGAGAACTGGTCCCAAGTGAGAGCTGGTGATCCAGCTGGTCTGACCAAACAATAATCCCTCCACCATTTCTTGGCGGAGCCTGACAGGCGAAAAGCAGCAAAGTTGACCCCATTGGTCTCCAGTATTCCCATGTTCCATAGAACCTCGTGACAACTGTCCAAATAGTCCTGGGATCCTCTAAAGATGTACCGCCATGAGTAGTAGTGAAAAGCTTGGTAAACCTATCCAATCTCCACAAGGCATTAGAAGACATAGCTGACCCATCACCGGTCTGTGCTACAACACCCGGCGACCCTAACTGGCTGAGCTGCTGGAGTCAGAAACGGGGAGCCATCTGCTCTGGAGTGTGAGTAGCGGGAGTCTGTGATCCTCCCCCAGCACGAGAGACGGCTGGTGCTACATGAAGTATGTCGGCCTGTGTAACACTCTCCATAAGGCCTACTAGACGGACGAAAGCATCCTGGAGTACCGGGGTAGCGATGAACCCCTCCGAAACCTGTGCTGGGCCCGCTGGAATGGTCTGGGCCGGAACCTCATCATCAAACTCTACCAGAGGCTCCGCCGCTGGTTCTGCTGCTCGAACTCTAGGCTGAGCCATGCCCCTTCCCCGGCCTCTAGCATGGCCTCGTCCTCGTTCTCTACCCCTCGTAGGAGCTGCCACTAGGGACTCGGGATGTTAATCAGCTGATGAAGCGGTACGTGTTCTCACCATCTGCGAAAGAACAGAGTAGAGAGTTTAATTAGCATTGAGAGATCAAACCGCACGACAAAGATGAATAGAAATGAAATATTCCTAACTCTGTAGCCTCTGGGGGATAAGCACAGACGTCTCCGTACCGATCCCTAAGACTCTACCAAGCTTGTCCGTGAATTGTGAGACCTAGGCAACCTAGTTCTCTCATACCAACTTGTCACGACCCGAATTTTCCACCTTAGGGACCGTGATAGCGCCTAACATTGCAAGCCAACATTACAGAATATTTCACTTGTTTCCTCTATCCTTTTATAAATAACATTTAACAAAAACTAAAACAGCGGAAATAAAAGCGCAAGTACATAATTTAACTGGTTACCATTACACTATTAACCAAAAGCCGAAATAAATACCACCCAGAAACTGGTGTCACAACTCACGAACAGTCTACGAATACTACAGGTAATGGTTTGAAAGAAAATACATCTGTCTCGAAGAAAGTAAAGCAGAAATGAAGTAAAGATATGAGGGGACGCCAGGGCCTGCGGACACCTGCACGACTACCTTGGGTCTCCGAATGCAATCTCAGCAACCGACCTCTCGATCAGCCACTACCAGCTCTGAAATCTGCACATAAAGTGCAGAGTGCAGTATCAGTACAACCGACCCCATGTACTGGTAAGTACCGAGCCTAACCTCGACGAAGTAGTGACGAGGCTACGACGAGGCATAACAGTATATAACCTGCAACAGTTTATACTAAGACAGAAAGAAAATACGGAATGAAATATAACAGTAACTTGCATTAAATAAATACGGAACCGGTCGTTTTACCAATACTAAGCTATAACCAATCGTTAAGGGAGTTTCAACACCATAATAATGAATCTCAGAAGAAGAAAACTACGTAAACAACAAATGATGCGGCGCGCATCCTGATCCCACCATATAATCATTAACGGTATAAATATTCACCCTTATTACTCCTTGGTGCGGCGTGCAACCCGATCCCACCAGTCCACCCTTATTACTCCTAAATATATCACCCTTATTCCTCTTGTTGCGGCGTGCAACCCGATCCCACCTGTCCACCTTTATTACTCCTTGTTGCGGCGTGCAACCCGATCCCACTAGACAATCACATTTCACCCTTATTCCTCCTGTTGCGGCGTGCAACCCGATCCCACTATATCAGTACCAATCATAAAATAAGAACAAGAATTTCACAAATTAATTCAAATCCCCCACTACACTTATACCTCAAACCAACACAACGCAAGATCACTACAACAATGAAACTTCATCACTCGTTACTACACAGCGAGACCAACCAAAGTGTACCACAAATCACCAATAAACCAACGGTGTGATATGATGAAACTACGGAACAATTAATAACATCAATAGAGAAACAATATTTAACAAGAAGCAATTAGACATGAAAGCATCAATAAGCAAGTAGCAATTAAGACAGGAAAGCAATATATAGGGAAATGGGGAAAGAAAACAGGCTAAACAGGTAATTTGGCGACGCATAGGTGCTCGTCACCACACCTATACGCCACACACATGGTATTTCACATAGCAAGCAAGTCGGGGATCCCTAATCCCTCAAGTCAAGGTTACACCAAACACTTACCTCAAGCCAACGCGTAATTCACAGCTCAAATACCACTTTACCTCTCGATTCCACCACCAATCCACTTGTATCTGGCCATAATAACTTAACAACATCAATAAACGCTAAAGAAACCAATTCTAATGCATAATTATAGATTCCCCAACATTTTTCCCAAAAAGTCAAAAATTGACCCCGGACCCGCTTGGTCAAAATCCAAAATTCGGACCAAAACCCGATTATCCATTCACCCCCGAGCCCGGATATACAATTGGTTTTGGAATCCGACCTCAATTTGAGGTCTAAATCCCCAAATTTTGAAATTCCTAAGTTCTACCCAAAAACACCCAATTCCACCATGAAAAACCCTAGATTCTAGGATGAAATCTTGTAAAAAGATGAAATAGATTGAAAGAAACAATTTAAGAATTATTTACCTATGATTTGGGGAAGAACTAGTCTTTGGAAAATCACCTCTTGAAGTTTAGGTTTTGAAAAATGGGAGAACGAATGAAAAATCCCGTCCAAAGTTCGTTTTGAACGGTTTCAGGTATCACCTTTGCGATCACAGGTTCGCAAATGCGAACTCGCAAATGCGGACTTTACTTCCAAATGCGAAGGTTGGCATGTCCTGCTAGCATCGCAAGTGCGAACAAGTGTTCGCAAATGCAGCCCCTGTTCTCATCGCAAATGCGACGCTGAGCTTCGCAAATGAGAAGGTCCCCTTCCCAGCCTTCTGATCGCAAATGCGAGATATCTTCGCAAATGTGGTGCTTGCATTTGCGAGCCAGACTTCGCAAATGCGACGTCTGCAGACCTGAAGCACACCAGAAAAATTTCTTAAGTCCAAATCACTCCGTAGCCTATCCAAAACTTACCCGAGCCCTCGGAGCTCCAAACCAAACATGCACACAAGTCTTAAAACATCATACGAACTTGCTCAAGCGATCAAATCACCAAAATAACACCTGCAACTATGAATTCAACACCAACGCACATGAAAGTTTCAAGATAGTTTCAAACTTTCTATTTTCTCAACCAAAGGTCCGAATCACGTCAAATCACTTTCGTTTTTCACCAAATTTTATAGATAAGGTTCAAATATCATAACGAACCTGTACCGGGCTGCGGAACCAAAATACGGGCCCGATACCAACAAGATCAAATCTTTTGAATTATTGCATTTTCAGTCTTATCAGTTTCTTTCAAAAATTTATTTCTCGGGCCAGGGACCTCGGAATTCAATTCCGGGCATACGTCCAGGTCCCACATTTTACTACGGACCCTCCGGAACTATCAGAATATGATTCCGGGTCCATTTACCCAAAACGTTGACCAAAGTCAACAAAAATTATCTTTTTAAGCCAAAAATTATCTTTTCTTAAATTTTTCACATAAGGGCTTTTCAGATACACGCCTGGACTGCGCACACAAATCGAGGAGAGATAAGATGGGGTTTTCAAGACCTCAGCACACAGAATCGGATTCTAAAACAAAAGATGACCCTTTGGGTCATCACAATTCCATTGTGTTTGATGAAGATGATGCGTTGGTGTTGGTTAAGCAATAAGTGCCATACAAATTATTTAAATAGTTTGTTTTGAGTTTAATGGATGAATGGGATATTGTCCTCCTTTTTTTTGTTTTATTGTAATCTATTGTAATAAATCTAGCTTAACATCGTTTTTTAGTTATTTTTATTTTTACGCAATAACTTTTTAGTTTTCTTATTAATATCTCTATTTGTCTTGAGTGATAGAAGTTATCTATGTGTTATTATGTTTTGCAGAAGCATTCCATCCAATGTGATATTATAAATATATTTTTTTCATTTTTATGTTAGAATTTATCTTTAAGATTTATGATTTTTTTAAATGGCAGTAGGCCCGGGTCTCACATAGGACTGGCCTTGGTGGACCATTTTAAGAGTTTGTTATGAGTTTAATGGATGAATGGAATATTGTCCTCCTTTTTTTTGTTTTATTGTAATCTATTGTAATAAAGCTAGCTTAACATCGTTTTTTAGTTATTTTTATTTTTACGCAATAACTTTTTAGTTTTCTTATTAATATCTCTATTTGTCTTGAGTGATAGAAGTTATCTGTGTTATTATGTTTTGCAGAAGCTCTCCATCCAATGTGATATTATAAATATATTTTTTTCATTTTTATGTTAGAATTTATCTTTAAGATTTATGATTTTTTTAAATGGCAGTAGGCCCGGGTCTCACATAGGACTGGCCTTGGTGGACCATTTTAAGGCCCACAAATTTTATGGGCCGGCCCGCTCAACCCCTCAAATTCTGAGGTCCACGTGGGCTAGATTAAGCCGGGTTGGTTTAGTTTTTTTCTTTACCAAACCAAATCAAAGGTGTCAGGTTTTTACATTTACAAACTAAACCAACCAATAAAAGTCGGATTTTTCAACTTGGGGTTTTTCTTGAATTTCTCAGGATTTTTTTTGTAGTTTTATGTGACTCATTTTACAATTATATATTCAGCAATGACCCTCCTAATCTTATCCACATTATACACCACTCTTTCAGTAGAATTCGAACCACTACTAGCCAGCCTTCTTTGAAACATTTTAACATGGATTGCCTCTTATCAACGAACCTAAAGGGGAACTTGTGACATTTTACATTTATGCGTGTTCATAACGTTATAGTCTCATTGATGCTTTTGACCACAAAGATTTTAAGATAATTATTATATTTTGCCATACATGTACCTCCTTTAGCAATAAATTTTGAGAAATAACCTCAAATCTCAGATATCTCTCTACTAGTATTCCCAGATTAGAAAGTACTAGAAGAGTTATTCTTTTTGGCTTTTTAGGAGGGGTGCATCGATGAGGAGTGTCATTACCTTGCTGTTGAGATACCGCTGTCATAGTTGGAGGAATGTTAATGACTATCTCTATAGCGACCCGACCGGTCGTTTTGGGCTCTAGCGCGCCATTCGGCGGTTTGAGGCCACGAGCAGCTTCACTTCAGGTATTATGACTTGTACGCGTGGTCGGGATTGAATTTTGGGAAGTTCGGAGTTGAATTGGAAAGAAAATTCTTATTTCGAAAGCTTTAAGTTGAAAGAATTGACTAAGATTGGATTTTAGAGTAAACAGCCGCGAAATCAGGATTTGAAGATACCAGCAGGTTCGTATGATGATTTCGGACTTGGGCGTATGTTCGGATCGGGTTTGGGATGACCCAAGAGTGTTTCAGCGCCTATTGTGGAAGTTAGCATTTTGGAAGAATTTTATAAAATATGGGTTGAAGTGCATTTCAATATTATCGATGTCCGTTAGGAATTTCGAGTTTGAGAATAGCTCCGCGTGGTGATCTGGTATTGGAAGCGCGTCCGGAAGTGGATTTGGAGGTCCGTAGGTCATTTTTGAGTCGTTTGGCGAAAGTTAAAAATTTGAAGGTTTTTGAGAAGTTTGACCGGAAGTGGAGTTGGGTCGGATTCCGATTTCGGAAGTTGGAGTAGGTCTGTAATGTCAAATGTGACTTGTGTGCAAAATTTAAGGTCAATCGGACATGATTTGATAGGTTTTGGCATCGAATGTAGAGTTCTAAAGTTCATTAAGCTTGAATTGGAGTGTGATTCATGGTTGTAGCGTTGTTTGATGTGATTTGAAGCCTCGAGCAGGTCCGCATTAAGTTTTGGAAATGGTCGGTGTGATTGGATGGGGTCCCGGGGGCCTCTGGTGGATTCCGGGTGATTAACGGATTGAATTCGGCCTTATGAACATTTTTAAGCCTGCTGTCATCTGGTGTAACCGCACCTGCGAGGCTTTGGCCGCAGGTGCGGAGTCGCAGAAGCGGCCAAAGGGGCGCAGATGCGGTTTGGTGGGGAAGTGCTGAGACCGCATATGCGGTCATCTCGCCGCAGAAGCGAGACCGCACCTGCGGAAAGGAAGGCGCAAAAGCGGAAGTGGGCAGTTGGGGGATAGACCGCAGAAGCAGTAGTTGGGCCGCACCTGCGGAACCACAAAAGCGGTCAAGTGACTGCAGGTGCGAAAGTAGGGGCTGGCAGTGTCTTCTTTAAAAACGAGGTTTTGGCTCTATTTCATTTTATTTTCGCCCATGGGAGCTGAATTTAGAGCACATTGGAGTACCATCTTCATCAATCATAATGGGGTAAGTGCTTTCTTCACAATTTTGAGTTAAACACATGAGTTTACGTAGATTTGAACATGGAAACTAGTAGAAATTGGGGTTTTGGTGGAAAAACCTAGAATCTTGCATATTTGGATTTTGACCACGAATTATGAACATGAAATTGAGAATAAATTATATATTTGAGTTCGTGATGTCATGGGCAAAGTTTATCTTCGAAAATTTTCGAATCCGGGCACGTGGACCCGAGGGTGATTTTAACGACTTTTCAAGCGAAGTTGAGAATTATTGTAAATAGGGTTTTAATGAGTATTTGAGTATATATTAATGAGTTTGCATCATTATTGACTAATTTTGAAGCGTTGGGCGTAGGTTTGAGTCGTCGGAAGGGCTTGGGAGCCGGTTATAGAACTTCGGCGCGAGGTAAGTCTCCTTTCTAACCTTGTAAGAGAGAATTAACCCTATAGATGAACTAAATTATTATGTGCTTCTATTTGTGGGGGCTACGTAAGCACGAGGTGACGAGAGTCCGTACGTAGTTACTAGCTATTCCTATGTCCGGGTAATTTTAGGTTTACATCATGCCTTGTTGATATTGTTGTTAAATTATGTTTATTGCTTGTCTTGAGAAGAAGCGAGATTGAGTTAACTTATTAAATATTTTTAAAGGAGTTGAAATTGAGGAAAGGTTGGGAACTTAAAAAGCTTTCATTTGAAGTTCGTAATTTAAAGAGAATCGAGGAATACCTTAATAACTTAAGAAATTTATGTGTAACCGCGTCGCACGTATGATCCACGAGCGGGGTAATTCTTTAAAGTTATATTCGACCGCGTCACATATATGATTCGCGAGCGGGGTAACTCCTTAAATTTATATTTGACCGCGTTGCACGTATGATTCAGAGAGGGGTATTTCCTTCTACTACTCTCATAGGAGTAGGCCGATCGCCTCTGCAGGTTAATAAATGCATCTATGCTTTGCGCCGTTCGACCCTCGGCAGTGCACAGTTTACTTTTATGTTGGATCGGGCCGTACGCCTTGGCATTTCCTATATATATATATATATATATGCTCTTCCTCATGGAATAGTGCGTTACTTTGGGCTAGAAGCCAGTGTATCTGAGGATTTTTCCCTGATTTGAATTATGACAACCTCTTCATGATATCCAATATATATATATATATATATATATATATATATATATATATATATGTTCTCCGGTTACGGAGGGAACTTGGTAGTTGAGAGCTTGAGTAAAATTGTAAAGAGGGGAATTGTACCACGTATTTTATACATGTTTATTTCATACATTTACTCTGTTTCATATCTATTCACTTCCTTACTGTACCTAATATTATTCGACCACTAGTAAGTGTCAAAGTCAACCTCTCGTCACTACTTCTTCGAGGTTAGACTGGATACGCGTTGTTTTCGTACTCATACTACACTTGCTATGCATTTTGTTGCACAGGCACATGCATGTCTAATGGGCTAGTGGGCGCAGCGGCATGGTTGATACAGAGACTTAGGTGAGCTGCATCTCTCGAGACGACCCGCAGTCAGCAGAGTCTCCTTCAGAGTATTGGTATTTTCCTTTATGTCCAAATTGTATTCCGGACAGTTATTGTATTTTATTTTATTCCTTAGTAAATGCTCATGCGCTTGTGACACCGGGTTTTAGGATGATTATGGGTTATTCAATATTGAAATGGTTAAAATATTATTATTTATTCTGTAAAGCCCATCTTTTACTATTAAATTGAAGAAAAATTATGATTTCAAAAATATTAAAACGAGAACTAAATTGATTATTTAGTGTTGGCTTACCTGACAGTGCTGGCCGACGCCATGACGACCTTTAATGGAATTTGGGTCGTGACAATCTCCATATCCAGTCTAGAAGGTATAGTTTCCATCCGGAAACAGTTACTGCACATGATAAAAAAGTTGTAATCTCAATGTAATACGTAGTTATTGACTTTCTAATACAAAACTAAATAAAAAAATTAACCAACAAAGAAAATTTGGAACAAAAGACAAAACAGAACACCATTTGTCCTATTTGAGCAAATCTAATAATCATCAGAGTGAGTTCTAGCACAGAAATAACAAAGAAATAATACCTCAAATTGCTGAATCATGTGAGTTTAAACTAAGTTCAATACTTGAATTCCCTTTTAGTGTATTGCTGAATTTTCTTACATGATGGGGGAACAATATATAATTTCTGAGCTCCTCTATACTCACCAAACTAACCATACCGAAAATTCAAAAGATAAAACAATTTTTTTCTAATAGACCTACAATAAGGATAGTATATGCAACCCCACTTCTCTCTAGATTTTTTTTTATCTATACCAGAGAATTTTCATCACTTTCTACAATTCATTTGAACTATATTTATACATATACTTTTCACCTTTCCTTCAAACACGTTTTTGTTGTTCTAGTTCCTTGAATCAATTGCAGCTTACTAGTTATTATATTCAAGTTGTTAACATACTAAAATATGCCGCAAACTTACCCCAAATCAAGATGAGTTGAATCGAACTTAAACTGAGCTGGGACGAAGTGAACTTGAATAGGACGAAGTGAACTTGAATGGAAAATGAGGAGCTCAAGATGTCCGGCTGGAGAGTTTGTTTCTCTCCAAGATACAACTTGTCAGCCAAAATGTATTAATATATTAAAAGAATTTATATAATTAGCATTTGACAAATGTCTTTGCATGGAAAGGTAAAAAATAAGTGGTCTTAATATCAAAATGTGGCAGCCGTCCTTTAAGCCTTTTGAGGGCACAATCCTTTGGAGAAGTGGCAAATGAAGATAGCCACGTTGCAATCATTCACACGGATAGAAACATGCACTTATGGCTATAAATAGCCTTCATTAGCCATTCATTCTCATCATCAGCAAGACAAAAAAAAATTCTTCTTCTCTTTCCTTCTAATTTCATTATTCACCAACTTCCCTTTGTTGTCTTTCTTTTTGGTAGTTTAACTTTTCTTGTTCCCCTTTTTTAAATAGCTGGGTTTGTAATATTTAAATTTTGCTGATTCCTGTATCCTCTAAATAAATAGAGATGGGTTTGTTTAATCCTAGGAAAATATTTCACATTGCTGAAATAGTTTCTTAGGACAGTGCCCAGCACGACTCAAGCCAATTCGTGTATCTGCTTACAAATAATATTATTGCAATATTATTATTGTTATTTTTCGGTGTCATTTACCTACAATCTAAGAAACTATGGCAAGTAATACTACTACAAATTTTTTTGATGGTGCTATCAATTTTGGTATTGTCTCTGCTGCTACTATTCCAGCTGTCCCGCCAGATATCCATGGTGTTGCAAATACGTTATTGCATCCACAACTTTGGCAGACACTAATTTCAAAACACAGGTATGCACCTCATGCAAGATTAATACAGCTGTCCCGCCAGATATCCATGGTGTTGCAAATACGTTATTGCATCCACAACTTTGGCAGACACTAATTTCAAAACACAGGTATGCACCTCAATGCAAGATTAAATAGACATGGTTACATATCCAACGCTAAAATTAATACCTTCAAGTAAATGCACCTCAATGCAAGAGAAGAGTTGAGATAAATGACAATCTCACTAAGTCAAAATTAAATTTGACTAAAGCGCATAATATAGTTGTTGCGGTCATTTCCCAGATAAATAATGTGGCCAATGTGAAAGATTGAGTGATAGACTCTGGTGCTACTAGGCACATGTGCAAATAAAAATGAATTTTTGTCTTACACCCAAGTTGAGGAAGGAGAAAAACTATTTATCTTGGTGACTCAAGAACAACTCGTGTTCTTGGGAAAGGAAAAATTCTTCTCAAAATCACATCTGGTAAAACTCTAGCATTGAGTGATGTATTGCATGTCCCTAATATCCAAACCAATTTGGTTTCTGTGGGGGTTATTAGGAAAAGTTGGAGTGAAGGTTTCATTTGAAAATAATGAGGTCGAAGCGGCGTCCCATTTGTGTCTGTCTGCGATCGTGCCTAGCTGGGCAGTTCATCAGGAGCTGCTATCTGGGACCAAGCACTAAGCGTGGGACAGAGGGCTCGTAGTACCTGCTAGCGCGTATTGACAAAAAATGATATTTTTTGTGGGCAATGGATATTGTAACCATGGTTTATTTGTGCTTAATATTTTCGATACTAGCAATAAAAATGCATCTTCTTCTGCTTATATGGTTGAGTCAATTTTTTGTGGCATGCTAGACTAGGACATGTTAATGTCACGTATATAATGAAAATGCAGTCACTAGGATTAATATCTGGTTTACACTCAAATAATGTTAACAAGTGTAAAATATGTGCTGAAGCTAAAAGTACTAGAAAGACTTTTTTTTCTGTACATAGAGAAATTGAATTATTATCCTTGATTCACACTGATTTAGGCGATTTAAAGCAGACTATGACTAGAGGTGGTCAAAGATATTACGTGACTTTTATTGATGATTTTTCTAGATATACTAAGTTGTATTTGCTTAGAAATAAAGATGATACTTTTAATGCTTTTATTTCTTATAAAACTGAGGTTGAAAATCAACTTAGTAGAAAAATCAAGAGAATTAGATCTGATAGAGGTGGAGAATATTTTTCTTTAAATAATTTTTGTGAAAAGAACGGAATAATTCATGAATTAACTCCGCTCTATTCACCCGAGTCAAGTGGAGTAGCTGAAAGAAAAATAGAACATTGAAAGAGATGATGAACTCTATGTTAGTTAGTTTTAATGCTCCTGATAATTTGCGGGGTGAAGCTATTTTACCAGCATGTCACTTATAAAATAGAATACCACATAGAAGAACTGGCGAAATTCCGTATGAATTATGGAGGGGTTATAAACCTAACTTGAAATATTTAAAAGTGTGGAGGTGCCTTGCTAAAGTTTTTTTGCCTGAACCTAAAAAGAGAAAAATAGGTTCTAAAACCGCTGATTGCATGCTTATTGGATATGCTGAACATAGTGCTGCATATAGATTTCTTGTTTTAAAAAGTGATGTCCTTGTTGAAACAAATAATGAGATTACCTCTAATGAGGAACTGAGAAGGAAAAGGCCTAGAAAAGAATATTTTTCTTATAGAAATGATTTTCAAACTTTTGTTGTCGATAATGAACCATCAAATTATTTTTAAGGTATATCTTCTTCAGATGCTAAATATTGGAAAGAGGTAATAAAAGTTGAAATCGATTCTATTTTGAAAAATTAAACATGGATTTTAACAAATTTACCTCCTGGTTCAAAGCCTATTGGTTGTAAATGAATTTTAAAAAAAAAAATTAATTCTGATGGATCTTTAGATAAATATAAAGCTCGGTTAGTAGCAAAAGGATTTTCTCAAAAACATAATATAGATTATTTTGATACATTTGCACCAGTGACTAGAATTTCTTCTATTTGAGTTTTAATTGCCTTAGCTTCAATCCATAAGCTTTTTATCCACCAAATGATGTCAAAACAGCTTTTTGAAATGGTAATTTAGAAGAAGAAATTTATATGGTTCAACCTGAAGGCTGTGTCATTCTTGGACAAGAAAATAAAGTTTGTAAATTAATTAAATCTCTTTATGGCCTTAAACAAGCTCCTAAGCAGTGGTATAAGAAATTTGAACAAGTGTTACTAAGAGACTGTTTTTCTTCGGTTGAGGTGTAATATGTTTATACTAAAGTGGTAGACAATGATTATGTGATACTGTGTTTGTTTGTTGATGATATACTTATATTTGGTACAAATTTAAATATTGTGCAAAGTACTAAATTATTTATGTCTGCTAATTTTGATATGGAAGATCTGGGTGAAATAAATACAATATTGAGAGTTAAAGTTATAAGGAGTGAAGATGGAATAATGTTGTCACAAGAACATTATGTTGAGAAACTTCTTAAGAAGTTTGATTATTTTAATATCACATCTGTGAGCACTCCTTTTGATGCTAACTCTCAGTTGAAAAAGAATAATAGTGACCCAATTGCTCAGTCTAAGTATGCACAGATTATTGGGAGTCTGATGCATTTAATGAATTTTACAATGCCTCATATAGCCCATGCAATATGTAGACTGAGTAGATATACTCATAATCCCAACAGAGAGCATTGGTCTGCATTAGATAGACTAATGAAATATTTGAGAGGAACCATGAATTATGGTATCCTATATAGTGGATTTTCTTCTACCTTAGAAGGGTACAGTGATGCAGTGACGACCCCAAAGGGTCATCACCTGTTTCCTCATTCATTCCGCGCTTTCAAGGCCTTGAAAACCTTACCTTTAGTTGCCTCGATTTGCGTGCGCAGTCCCGGCGCGTAGCCGGAAAGACTATATGTTAAATTTTGTGAAAAATTTCAAAATGTGGCTTTAAAATGATTTAAAGTTGACTTCGGTCAACATTTTTGGTAAACGGACCCGGACCCGTGATTCGACAATCCCGGAAGGTCCGTACGAAATCCGAGGTCTAGAACCCGAGTAAAAGAATTTTTCTGTGAAATTGTCTTTCTGAAATTATTAAGGAAAATGGAAATGAAAATTGATTAAAAGACTATGGTATCGGGCTCGTATTTTGTTTCCGACGCCCGGTACAAGTCTTAAATATGTGTTAAGCGCTTTCTGTAAAGTGTGGTCGAAATCGGACGTCATTTGACGTGTTTCGGACCTAAATATCTAAAGTTGGAAGTTTAGGAAGTTATAATGAAAAATGATGAATTTGGGGCTTGATTCAATGATGTTGATGTTATTTTGGCGGCTTGATCGCTCGAGTAAGTTCGTAGGATGTTGTTGAGTTAGTGTGTGTGATTGGTTAGGAGCCCAGAGGGCTCGGGAGTGTTTTCGGAGGTGTTCGGGGTGTTTTTAAACTTAGAAAGACTTCAGATTTTTCTGCAATTTTTACACAGAAAGACCCTTTTTCGCGTTCGCAGTGTTGCCTTCGCGTTCGCATATCCTTGCCCTCTCCCTCCTTTGCGTTCGCGTTCTGGCCATCGCGATCGCGAAGCTCTGCTGCTTCCTTCAACGCGTTCGCGTGTCTCCTATCGCGTTCGCGTAGGCCCAGACCCCAGACCCCAGAAAAATTTCTCTACGCGTTCGCAGCCCCACTATCGCGAACGCGATGCTTCCAGTCCACCCGTCTTCGCGAACGCGACCCCTTGGTCGCGAACGCAGAGAACAAAATCGCCCAGCTATAATTTTAAAATTTCAGAATCAGAACCTACGGGATTTATCCAATTTTCTCACGAGCTCTCTTCTCTCCCAAGCTTTAGGAAGCCATTAAAGCCCCCATTCTTCAAGACCACTTGGGTAAGTAATTCCCCACTCATTTCCTTCACTTTTCCTTCATTAATTAGCAAGTTTCTAAGACTAAAAACATGAAATCAAAGTAGAAATTAAGGGTTTTGGGTAGAGTTAGGGTTTTGAGAATTTTGGGTGATTCAACCTCAATTTGGGGTCGAATCTTAAAACAAATTGCATATTTGAACTCGTGGGGTTATGGGTGATTGGGTTTTGGTCCGAGCCTCGTGTTTGGACCATGTGGGCCCGGGGTCGATTTTGGAATTTTTGGGAAGAAAGCTTAGAAATTCATATTTAGGCATTGGGTTTAGTTTGTTTAGCTATTATTAATATTGTAAAGTCATTATTTCGTAGATTTGACTGTGTTGGAGCCGAATTCGAGGGGTAAAGCTATACTAGAGGCTTGAGTTG